AAAGAGAGGAACTGGGAATGGCCCTGACTCGGTGGGCCCTTCAACGTGTTTTCGTAAAGCCAGGAATTTCCAAGAGCCCCTGGCCTTGCGACACCTGGGATTCAGAGCCCTGATGTCATTTCCCGTGTTGTTCTTCTCTCGGTGCTTGGATGGGAGGCCACCAGGAGACGCCAGGTGTCAGGGGAAGCCAGAACATTGAAAACACACCCTTGAAGGGAGCAGGGGCAAATCACTTGGGTACAGCGGTCAAGAAAAGTATGTGATTGTGTCTGCAAAAGTCCGCATTGACCTGGGGATTTGAAGAGGTGGCTTAAAAGCACCTCAGCTGGTTTTGCTTCTTAGCAATGACATGAGTAGGTTTTCCCCAGCTTTACTTGTTCCCCACTTGGCCTTCTGAGGTCTCTCAAGGGAACATTCATTGCTGCCCCCTAATCCGATCCATCCCCTTTGCTGCTGGTGGTCTTGTTTTCTTTCAACTTATCCAAGCAGGGTGAGCTTCTCCGTCTCTGAAGACATTATTTTATGTCTTACAGTCAGCCAGATGCTTAGTCTGGATTTGGCATTTTTCTCCACCTACCGAGTCCTTCCCAAAGACCTGGGATAGGCCGATGTTTATTATTATTGTTGTTGTTGTTGTTGTGAAATGCTGTAGGCATTCTGTAGAACTCATTGGGGTATATGGATGGTTCTGGACCATTTATTCCATTGCTAGACATCTCCATCCTAGAGGAACTGATTGCTCACCGGATCAAAAATTTGGCAGGATTCTGGCGTAGCAAATTGAGGGAAGGGCCAGTTGCCACATGAACACAAAATGGTGATGAAGCAACTCCCTTCCTTGACGCTCACCAGATGCAGCAGCTGGATCTGAGGCACCCCGGGTGCATCACCTCTCTTCTTCTCCAGGCACTCTGCAGTAGAGGGATCTCCCAGCCATCGTGGGATCAGGGCTCGTCCTTCTTAGGGAGGGGATGCAAAATCCAAGTGTGTTCCTTAAGAGTGGCCAATCTAAACGAAGAAGCCACCTTATATTCCTGGTTTGTTTTAAATTAACCTCTGACCAGGCACTTGTACTCATTATGCTAACTTATGCATCAGTACCAATGGCTCACTAGCTCATTCTTTTGGTCTGCCTTCCTTTCGTTGTACCAATGAACTGGTCCTTATTGAGACCTTAAGGGGGGCATGGAGGCCTAGTGGTTCAGATGTTGGCCTTGTCAATCAAAGATCAGCAGTTCGAGACCCAAACGTCACGCAGTGGGGTGAGCTTCCCATCCTTGACCCAACTTCTGCCAACCTAGCAGTTTGAAAGCATGCCAATGCAACCAGCAATAGCACTTAGTGCTTCCCAGTGCTTTACAGCCCTCTCTCAGCGGTTTACAGAGTCAGCCTATTGCCCCCCCCCCAACAATCTGGGTCCTCATTTTACAAGCCTCGGAAGGGTGGAAGGCGGAGTCAACCTTGAGCCGGTCAGGATCAAACTCCTTGCAGTGGGAATGCAAATTAGCCTGCAATACCACATTCTAACCACCGCACCACCACAGCTCATAGCGTAAACAGGTACCACTTCGGTGGGAAGGTAGCAAAACGCTGGCTCCCCCAGCTAAAAAACAGAAATGACTAGCGCCCCCTAGAGTCAGACATGACTGGACAGGGGAAAACCTCACTTTTTATTGAGACCTTAAATAAAAATGTGTCAGCCAATCATAGAGATATTTAAATCCATAAACCTTCTCAATCCCTGGATTACCACTGGACAGTTACTTTCAAAATCCAGAAAGTAGTAAGTGAAAAACCAGCTTCCCAGGAACTTGCCCAACGCCGTTCTTAAAAATCACCAGAGAAGATGGCTTCCCTGCTCTTCTGCATCTGGAAGGCTAAAAGCAAACTTTGTTCAGTTGCAGAAGCAGGACTTCTCCTCACTACGAGTGGCTGTTTCACGCAACTTGTCTATCTGTGGGTCACCTGGTTGTCCCCCCCCCCCGCCCTTTGCCAAGTTTGCACAGCACTTTAGCCCTAATGCTGGGCTTGGCCTGATGTGTGAATCCAGTCATGAAAGGCCAAATCCAAGTTGTTAAATCTATTTGAATGAGTTTGAAAGGATTGAAGAAAAAAAGTGATTCTAACATAGTCTTGTGTAGATGTATAGAATGCTACTTGTGAGAAACTTGGGATCAACCCTTTGAGAGGAAGCAGATGGCATGTCTGAAAAGGCTCAAAATCATTCACCTTCACAGGTCAAAATTTCTGCTTTAGAAGGCTGCAATTTGGAGGTAGGTTTCAAAGATTTCACTGCTGTTGAGCAAGTGCAAATTCAATTTACAAAAAGGGGAGAGCGATGTTTTTGTGGGCACAAGCGTGAAAGAAAAGAAAAAGAAGGAAGAAAGAAAGACTATATAATATATTTAACAGGCTGGCTTATAAAATTAAAGGAACTAACAGGCTACAGCAATGTTATGTTTATTTAGCAGTCAGGCCAGGCTTTAAAAGTTTTCTAGAAGATCCTTTACTGGCTTTTAAGATTATTATTATTATTATTATTATTATTATTATTATTATTATTATTATTATTATTATTATTATTATTCAGGGGAAAAACATGAGGTACACAATTTTAACTTGCTCTTTTCAAATTGTCTTTCCAAGTATTTAAACTGTTTTTTCCTTTTTTGCAATCACTGTACTGGTTTGGGCAAATATAAACATTTGAGATAAACAGAAGCAACAAGTTAAATCCTGCGGTATCCAGCAGGAAATGCTTAGGCTTCAGACACGCAGTTCCTCGGAAGGAGCGATTTCCACTGAGCTCAGCAGCCTCCGCAAAGTGGAACTGGACGGTCTCGTCATCGTCCCGCTTAGAAAGGCAGAGTTCAGCGATGCCCATCAGATTTAACAGGCACTACATTATACTGATCACATCCTGGAGCCCCTCAAGGTTTGTAGACATATCCAGACTTGAACATTTTATATGGGGAAGCAAAAATGTATCCTTGCTGAGTTTTAAATGGTTTTGATGCTTCTGTAACAGAAAAAATTTCCTCCTCCTTATTCCGCTGTGCTAATAGAGTGCAGCCCAGATCTGTATGAATGTTTTTTGATGAAGAAAAATATAATCTCTGCAAAGAGAAAACTTGCACTTCAGTGTTTTGCCTAGTACTTTTCTTGCAGAAAAAGTCTGTGGTTTTGGCAAGTTGCCCCAGTGGGATTTCCCACCAGTGCCAGTAGTTGGGTAGGTGGCATCATCCTTGGATATCATTTGATGTAACAAAATGACATGAAACTGCAGCTTTATGGGAAAGAAAGAAACTGCAGCTTTATGGGAATCAAATTGGGTGGTAAGGCCCTGCAGGTGTTCTCAGATACTATGTAATGCAACGCATGCATTCACTAAGATAAGAATGAGAAACTATAGGAAATGTATATCTATCAGTTATAGAACGAGGCCTCTTTTCTTGGCAATGTGTAGGGGGTGAAGATGCTTCAGACTATGGTCTCGCTGTAAGCTGTGCAACGTCTGAATTCCGTTCAGCAAATCTTCCACGGATATTTAGACCTGGGCTCGTCTACTATTCTCCTTCTTAGTGCCAATAAATAAACATTACAGCGTGGAACAAAAAAGTAGACAGGAATAATTCCAGAATGGCACTAAGATCAAAGGGCTGAATTATTCTTTCTACTCAGTAAGAGACACCAGACTATTGAGTTGGTCTTGTGGCCTTCAGGCAAACGCTGTTCTGGAACAGACCCATTACTCTAGTTTACCACGGCACAGAAATTATTTGTCTTTCCCCAGTTGAAACAATCATGAGTGAATGGGGTCCCATTGGCTGAATCTGCTCAGGCTAAGCTAAATTTACTATATATAGTCCCTGCCACCCACCAGCAGAAAAAGGGGAAGAGGCCCCCCTTTCCTCCCATCCGAAGCAGCCCTCCCGATATGGTCCTAGAAAAGAGGACCAGAGGTCTGAATGCAGGAGGGAACCCGGTTTCCCTCAAGCCAGCCTGGAGGGCAGTCAGCATCTTGCTTGGGGGGCTCAACCAAGCCTTCGATCCCCAGGAAACAGGCACTCTCTCGGTTCAGGCTCCCATTCCGCCAGTCGTGGTTTTACTGTCCAGTGAAATACAGCTGCTCTTGGGTCTAGATCTATACAGTGCTGAGATTTAACAGATCTTGGCTCTCCTTTGCTCATAAAAGACCAAAGGCTGATAGTAATAAAAACACCAAACATTAAACTTGTTTTCCAAACTGAATATTATCTAATCTTTGTGCTATATGAATGTAAACATTTCTCTCCATTGGCTGAAAGTGGCCGAATGACCCCAGGAAACTCAATCTGTATTAAACTGTAAGTTGAATCCCCACCTCATCTACGGTGCTTCTGTTTAGCCAGCCTACATTAGTATTTCTTCTGCCCACAAAAGAACAATTTTAACTTTCAAAAGCTTAACAGTCACAACTGATGGAGGCAAACAGCTGACATGGAATAAGATAAAGACAGAAGCCTTGCAGCTGGCCTCGGCCCCTCCTCCGGTGCTGCAATCATCCATTAAAAGGGAAATTGGCTTCAGAAGCGATACTGTTTTCCTCCATGAGTTTTCAAAGTACTTCCAAAACGGAAATGTTCCTTTGCGGAATCAGAGAGCAAATCAGGAAAGTGAGAGGATGGAGGGTCCTTTCAGGGCCTGTCTTCAGATCCACAGAATCACAGATCTTCCTTGTGCTCCCCAGCACGAATGGGATACGGCACCCGATAAAGAAGGAGGCATCAAAGCGAGGCTCTTTACTCTTCTTTTAATAAAAGTTGTGCAAAATAACTCGACCGAGAGTAAAAAGGGGGGAGTCAGTCAGTCCGCCGGTCAGACCCCTGGGGGGGGGGGCGGTCCCGACGTTGAACCCAGCAGAAAGTCCGGCCCAGCGTCTTCCCCGGCAGCCCCGCCGCCCGTCGAAGGGGAGAGGCTCCGCCGGGGCTCCGCCTGGCCCGGTCTCCCTCCCTGCCCGCTCAGGGGCAGACGCGCGGGCCCGGGTAGGGCTCCCCGCCGCACCAGAAGTCGGGCGCCTGCGGCGTCTCCAGCAGCCAGAGCGGGGCGGGCGGCGGCGGGAGGCTCTGTCCGTCGAGCAGCCGGTAGTAGTGGCAGTCGCGCCCGCGGGCCGGGTCGTAGGGCGGCGCCAGGATGTCGAGGAAGGCGGCGGGGCCGCCCTCGGCCGCGATCTGGTGCAGGTTGTCGCGCTGCGGGGAGAGCAGGCAGGGCGGCGCGGCGGCCGTGTAGAGGCGGTGCGAGCGCAGCAGGGCCCGCAGGCGGCGGGGACGAGCGGCGGCGGCAGCGGCGCTGGAGGGGTCCTGCGGCTCCCTCCCGCCGGGCAGCGGCTCTTCCTCCTCCTCCTCCTCCTCCGCCTCCTCCTGCCCGGCCTCCCCGGCGGGGGCGTCGAGGCAGGCGATGCGCAGCGTGCCGTAGAGCACCTTGAGCAGCCCCTGCATGCCCGGGTGGTCGTGGAGCGGGATGCAGGCGCCGGCGCGCAGCACGAAGACGCCCATGCTGAAGCGCGCCGTCTCGCAGATGTGCATGTAGCTGACGGGCGGCTGGCGGGGTCCCGGCACGGGCGAGGGGCCGCGCGGCTGCAGGCCCAGGTCCTCGGCGCGCACCTGCCCCAGCAGCTCCCGCAGCCGCTGCAGCTCGCCCGGCGCCTCGCCCGCGNTCTCTCTCTCTCTCTCTCGGGTTGGCAGCTGGGCGCTCGCGGGCGCCTCCCGTCCGGCTGGCAGAGAAGCGGCGGGAGTTGGGCTGGGGCGGGCAAAGCCACCCTGGGACCCCCTGGGCGGGGAGGGAATGGGAGAAGCTGCCAGATTAATATTTATACGTTATGTGTAAGGGTGTAGGAGGTCTATACATATTTTGTGTACAGTATGTTTAAATGTGTGTTATGTATGTGTACTTTGAGAGCAAGCAACTAAATTTCATTTTTAATGTGTGCCATTGTGCCCACAGTAAAGAAATGACAATAAAGGTTATCTTATCTATCTAGGATATGCGGCGAGTCTCGAAGGAGAAACGGTGCAAAAGTGGCGCGGGGAGGGGAGGGGAGGGGAGGGAGGGAGGGAGGAAAAGGACAAAACCGAGAACCAAGAACGGGACAAAGTTTTGGCGATGCTGAACTGAACTTCAGGCACACTGCAAAATTCTGTTATAAATCCTACCACGTTTACCCTCTTTTCCTTACCGGCCAGTCATGCTGTAAACTTATTTAAATAAAGCACCGAAGGTCTTGCTCGAGAAGGCCAACCGAATCCCCGGTGGTCTCCTTGGGGCTCGTGGCGCTTCCCACCCGAGGGCCTCCCGTGGGGCTGCGTGGCCGCGACCACAGCCGCTCTTCCTCCAGACTCCGGGCCAGGCTCGCGGGGGTGGGGGTGGCGGTGGGTGCGGAGGGTCCACAGAGAGGAAGAGTCCTCCTGATCCCCTCCCGAAGGGGGCTCGGCTCCAGCAGCTTTCTCTCTTGGGTCGGCTTTCAGTGGGAGAAGAAAAGAGAAGGCCCCGCCCGTGGAAAGAAGAGGGGAGGGGGCGAAAAGTAATACCCTGCCGTCCTCCCCCCCCCGGAGGGGGTTCAGCCCTTTTTCCTGCCCTTCGCTCTTTTCCTAATCAGGTTTCAGCCAAGGCTTCTCCACGCTGTTGCTGTTCAAGGTTCTGATGTTCCCTCTCCGCACAAGCACACACACACACACACAGACACCCCCTTCTCCAAGCCCGCAGCCACCCCGGAGACACCCCGAGTTAGCCGGGGTCTTGCTGACCGAAGGACGCTTCTTCACGTTCTCCTATCCTAGCCAGCTTTCTTGCGCTGCTCCTCCTGGGCTGGGTTTTTCACTGCCCGCGTCTTTACCGCTGCCCGCTGCTTGGGGTTGGGGCTGAAGAGGAGCAGCGAGCAAATCTTCTGGCCTGGGGCAAGAAGGCACGGTGTGGCCAGAGGGAGAAATAAAAGGAGGGATTTTGTGGGCCCAGAGAGGCTCCCCTCGGCTGAGCGAAAGGGATTTCTGCTCCTTTTAATCAAGATCGTGATGGTTCAGAATCATTCTTGCCCAAAAGCCACAGAGGTGCCCAAATAGTTTTTTTTCAAAGACTTCAGTTTAGGGTGGCCCAAACAAGAGGTGGATAATGGGGTTATCCATCCACTCTTATGGCCCTCACATGGGTTTTAGTCTGACTGCAATTTTCTGTGTCATGCAGACCCAACACACTACACTGACGTATGGCTAGTAATTTGTTTATTTTTTACTAGTATCCCATCTTTATTATTTTTATAAATAACTCAAGGTGACAAACATATCCAACACACCCGCCTCCTCATATCCTCCCCACAACCAAAACCTTGTGACGTGGATTGGACTGAGACAGGGCGACTGGCCCAAGGTCACCCAACTGACTTTCACAGCTAAGACATGAGCAGGTGGAGAGGAAAATGCCCTGGCCATATTGAGGAACCGGACTTTGTGTCTGTCGTTAACCATCCCAAATGCTATTTCACAGCAGCCCTTGAGAAGCATTATGGGGCTTCTTAATAATAATCAGAACAGAGCTGGAAGGGACTTTGGAGGTCATCTAGTCCAAATCCCTGCTCAAACAGGAGAGCCTATATCATTCTGGACAAATGGCTGTCCAGTCTCTTCTTAAAAACTCCCAGTGTTGGAGCACGCACAACTTCCGGTGGCAAGCAGTTCCGCTGGTTAATTGTTCTCACTGTTAGGAAGTTTCTCCTTAATTCCAGGTTGCTTCTCTCCTTGATCAGTTTCCATTCGTTGTTTCTTGTCCTGCCTTCTGGTGCTTTGCAGAGTAAGGTTGACCACCCTCTTCTTTGTGGCATTATTTGTGGAACAAAATCTCCCTTATAAGCTACAGTTTCATATTTTTGTGTGTTTTCAATTCCTTCATTTGCAACCATCCCCTGTGTAAATTGCCATTTTCTTTTCAAAAGCTGCTTGCAAATAACTGCAAAAGGCTGACTTCCGTTTGCAGTCCTGATGCAGATGTGAAACAGTGATATCACTTCATAACTGAGAGGGTGATGAACTGTTTCCTTGAAGTTTATGAATCACTTCTTTGGTAGTGACCGCCATAACAAATGGAAAGCTAAATGCCGACCTCAGAGATAAACAAGATGACTTAGTGTTCTCAGAGAATAACGCACAGAACCCAAACATTTAGCAGAGAATGAAATGGCGAAGTTAGACTAGCATAACTTTGCCTTGTTCTGATCATGTAATCGGCAGATCCTCTGGGTGGAAAATTCTTATACTTCTAGCATTGGCAGCAGCCATAAAAATGAGGTTTTCTACAGTTGTACAGCCTATAAATTATCTCTTGCTGGCATACTGTGATAGTGGGCAATTACTGAAAAACCTGCCTACCTGTTCATTGCATTTCCACACTGGCACCACAGACCCCCCCCCCGGCTTCCGTCCTGCAGATCCTCTTGGTTCAGAGGGGAGACGTCCCCCCCTCTGAGCCCGGCACACCTACGGTGGTCTCTCTCTCCGGGGCAGGAGGAAGCTTGTGTTGTACGGCTGTGAAAGCTGGCAGCTCAAAGTCTGAATCACTGGAGATTCACATTTAAGGGCCATGTTTGTGTGTGATGGGCAATACGACAAATACATAAATTCTGAAAGGGTTTCCTGTAGCAAAATGTCCGATCCCCAAAGGTGCTCGTGGCTGGGTGTCCAACAATGCCTTCTTGTTCTCTGGCATTCATGCTGGTTTGGCTGGCCAGAGAGGATGACCGATGGCTCCAGACCAAACACCTTGGTCTCTTAGAAATGATGGAGCACCCCTGAAAGCCCTGGGATTTGTAGATTACACCTCTCGATATTTACTGTTTTAGAAATTAAGAAATTTTACAAATTTAAATTTCCTTCCTTGGCCTCTGAAAGGGTCCTGGGGGGCCCTTTGAGACCCATTGTTGGAGAGGATAGTCAGGGTTCTTTGAGGGAGGCCTGCTTATGGGGCGGGATGACCTCCATAGGGTGAGAGAAGGAGGAACGACCTTCCCAACAAGACCCCTTGGCTCTCTGTGGGGTCCCTTGACCACCACTGGGGCAAAGCTTAGGATGGTTCCGCTCGTACCTGCAGCGCACCCCACAGCCCCAGCGGTTCCGCTTCTGGGGCCCCTCTTTTCCTGGTCTGGCTGTGGAATTACTGCCCGGGGCCACTCTTGCTCCTCGGGGAGAAGCTGGGATCCCGGCATTCCCGGGATCGTGTGGCAGAGGAACGAGCAGAGTGGCTGAATGCCTGCTGAGCACTGTTGAGGAAGCCCTTTGGGACAGCCAGTAAGGTTTGAGCAAAACATTCGAGGGGCTGGTTGAGGGGCCACACAAAGCCTCCACCCAGCTCCCGAAGGGGCTCCCAGCCTCACACGCGGCTCCTCAGGAGCCCAGACGGAGGAACATTCCCAAGGCTGAAGGCGGCACTGAGGCTTCCTGGCCTGGCCAAAGAGCAAGGAAGTGCGGGGCAGTTGCCCTTCCTTGCCAAGGGATGCCCGGAGGGGCCATCCCATCATTGGCAGGAAGGCAAAGGTCATCCTGCTGTTTCTGAAAGGGAGGGGAAATAAAAGGGGGGATGGGATTCTGCCCAGGAAACGGGGGAGGGAGAAATCATCACCTTCCTTTTTCTCTGGAGGTTTTTCCGGGTCCTGAGATTTTGGGGTGGGTGGGTGGAAGGCTGCCGGGGGAGCCCCTCCTGGGTGCAGGGGTCAGTGGTTGGTGGAGCATCCGGAGGGTTTAAGGAAGTTTTGAACTGCCTCCGTCTCCAGAGACCCCCAGTCCCTCCTAATAATCGGGAGCTGAAGACGGCTGGGGCTGAACCAGGGCAGGGTGGGCAGGACCCCAGAGCAGTTCAAATCCTGCCCTGCAGCTCCTTCGCTCTCACTGAGGGGCAACGTTTATTGCTGGGGGTCTTTAACGGGAGGGCAGTCGGAGCACCTTGGAAAACAGGTGTTTTTAGGCTGTTCTTGGGCACCGGGGAGGAGCCCAGTCTGGACCTTATCCGTCAATCGTAGCTCTTTGATTAGGACACGGATGTCTGCCCTGGTTGGACTGGCCCGTGTATCCATTCCCCAGAGAGCATTAAGGGGGTGTGTGTTGGGGGCAGAGGGGGCGACGCCTGTCTTGGGCTGCTAGAACAGGGCAGGCGAGGAGCTGGCACAGCCTGCACTGCTAATTGCAGCTGGGGCTTCCGGGTGGGTTTATTTATTTACTTATTTATTCGATTTATGTAGCCAGCCATCCCAAACCTCTGGGCTGCAAACCACCCTGGGCAAGGCTGCAGAGAAGGGCAGGGCCCGTGGGGCTTCCTGGGGGGGGGGGGCTCAGGCTGTGACTCAGGGAGTAAATATGGCTGCTTTCCTGCCGGCTCTTGGGGCAGATGACTCAGAGGCCGGAGGAGGGACTGAGGTCAGGCCAGCAGCCAGAGGTAGCCTGATTTACAGAGAGCAGAAAGTGCTTCCTTGCTCCCTTGGGAGAGGGGAATTTTTGTCTCCCGCCCCCTTGTAACGCTGCATTATTTGCTGGGCCACTGAGTTTATTTATCCCAGATCACAACCTCTGTGGTTTTTCTTACAAAACTGCACCATGCTCGTATATCATTTAGAAAAAGGAAGCAAATGAGGGGTTCTTTTTTTTTTGTAGTGCAAGGGTTTAAAACTTGCGTTATAAATTAATAGTATTTCTCCACTTTTAAGCACGGGGTGCCTGATCATTTCTTTTCAGTGCCCAAAACATCAGCAATTATTAGTCACGGCTAATTATAGATATCCCCGCTGTGCCCTGTGATTCCCCACGCAATATTTGAGCAGCTACATTTTGTCCGCAGAAGAGTGCAGGGGAAGGGGCTGCTCTGGGTAAAGCCCACCTCCCTTTTTCCCACCTGGGATGCCCCTCCACACTGACCCAACTACGATGCAAATGCTGCACTTATCAAGCCTTGTGACCACCTGGGGCAGCCCATCCTGAATCGCAGGGCCCTCGTCCATTTTTATTGGTTTCTATTCCTTGTCACTCGAACAACAGGCGGGGTTAGGAGCACCAAGGGCCGCCTCTGCCAGGAGAGGAGAGCCCCCCCACACCGGGGAGGGGGGGAGTGTCTGAGCAAAGGGAGAGGGCCGCAGAGCCCCAGCGCAGCCTTTTCTGCGGAGGAAGTTCAGGCAGTCCTCGATTTATGACCACAATGGAGCCCAAAATTTCTGTTGCTAAGTGTTGCTCCATTTTACAACCTTTCTTACCACAGTTGTTAAGTGAATCACTACAGGTGTTAAATTAATAACATGGTTGTTAAGTGAATCTGGCTTTCCCCGTTCACTTTGCTTGTCAGAAGGTTACAAAGAGTGTTTCCATGACAAGTTACAGTCACTAAATGAACTGCTGTAATTCGAGGACTGCCTGTAGTCCCTGATGCTACTCGGGGAGCGTCCGTCCAGGGCACAGTCCAGCCGTGGTCTCTGTTTGCCTGCCGCCCTGCCCTTCGCCCCCTTCTTCCTCCTGCTGCATGGGGGGGGGGGAGCGCACATCTTTCCCTCCCACATTCCTTGCGTTGTCTTTTCAAAAAATTAGTCTACCTTATCGGCTGCCACCCCTCCCCCACCCTCATTTGATTTCCCTACATCTGCCAAACGCAGGTTATCGGGGGGGGGGGGGTTAGGGTTGGGGAGTGGTTGCACTAAAGGCTACTTTGGAGGAAGACACAGTTTGCTTGTTTTGTGAACATCTACACAGTGTCTATTTGCCAAGCACTGTTAGCACAATTTGCAGCCCTTTTAGACAACTTGGTGTCTGGAGGGTGCTGGCTTCTCAGACATGTTTTTAAACAGGCCACAATAGTTTCTACAGCTGTTAATAGTTTCCTAGAAGAATGATGGTATTATGTTCGTTTGTGCTTAAAATGTGCATGACTTACATTGCACAGGAGTCAGAACGAGAGAATGTCAGAACATTTTCTTTGTTGCTGAAACGTGGCCAGGAAAGTCTTCTCTAGCTCGATAAATTCCTTGCCGTCCATGTGCGCTGCATCGTGCTGCTCTAATGGCTCAGAGTCACTATGAAAGTTGTCTTTGTATGTGTGGATGTACAATCCGTCCTGTTTGGCTTCTTTATTTATTCTGCATTCTTTATTGTGATGTGTATTCTTTTCCCCCCATTCTAGACCAGAAATTGTTGTTGAGCTCCTCACAAAGCTGAAATAATGCTGTGTATTTTAAAAAATGTGAACAATTTGAAAAAGTTATAAAAATGTATAAGCTGGCTACAGACTGAAGAAATTTCTGCATATTTTAATATAAATGGTAATGCAAATATTTGTTCTTTCCATTCAGAGGTACTTTGTTCTCCAAAAGGACAGAGGTTTAATTATGCTTGTACTAAAGAAGAACAAATCCTTTCTTCTTAAGGAACTGGAATGATTACAGTTCAAAAGGACATCCTTTGGAGATGCTCAGATGCTCAGCTCAAGAAAGTAAGCAATGCAGTACCCCAAAGTTCAGGCTTAGTCCCAGTACTTTTCAACATCTTCATAAAGAATTTAGATGAGGAAATAGAAAACGGACTCATCAAATCTGCAGACGACACTACACTGGTAGGAATAGCCAACACCTCAGAAGATAAGTTCAAAATCCAGATAGACCTTGAAAGACTTGAACTCTGGAGCCTATCTAACAGAATGAAATTCAACCAAGAGAAAAGTAAGGTTTTACACTTAGGCAAGAAAAAAAAAACCAAATGTACAGATACAGATTAGATGAAACTTGGCTCAGTAGCAATAACTGTCAGAAGGATCACTTAAATATGAGCCAGCCGTGTGCGGCAGCAGCCAAAAAAGCCAATGCAATCCTAGATTACATTAACAGAGGGCTAGAATCAAGATCAGGTGAAGTCTTAATACTGCTTTATAAAACCTGGGTAAGACCAAACCTGGAAGACTGCATCCAGTTTTGGTCACCATATTATAAAAAGGATGTAAAGACTCTGGAAAGAGTGCAGAAAAGAGCAACAAAGATGATTAGGGGCCTGGAGGCTAAAACGTATGAAGAACAATTGCAGGAATTGGGTATGTCTAGTGTAGTGAACTGAAGGACGAGGAGCAACATGGTAGCATTGTTCCAGTATTTGAGGGGCTCCTACAAAGACGAGAGGGGTCAACCTATTTTCCAAAGCACCAGAAGGCAGGACAAGAAGCAATGGATGGAAACTAACCAAAGAGAGAAGCAACCTGTAATTAAGGACTATTGAGAACAACCAGCGGAACGGCTTGCCTCCAGAAGTTGAGGGCGCTCCATCACTGGAGGCTTTTAAGAAGAGACTGGACAGTCTGAAATGGTACGGGGTCTCCTGATTGAGCAACGGGTTGGACTAGAAGACCTCCAAGGTCCCTTCCTTCTCAGTTATTCCGTTAAAGCGCTGCTCCCACCAGAGTCAGCGGAGCGCCCAGGGTCGCTGGGACTCTCCATTGCTCCGGCGCAACCTTTGCGCCCCCCCGGTTGCCCTGGAGAGCTGGGGTGGCCGGCCTCTTCTCGCCTCGGCCGGGGACGCCGGAGCCGCGGTGCGCCGGGCACGAGAGGCTCTGGCCGCCCTTCGCGTCCAGCCTCCCGCCTCGGCTCTTTTCCCAGCGCTTGGAGTAGCTGCGGTCAGGCGCCGGCCTCGGCCTGGCAGGTGGAGAAAGGCAGAGGCCGCCCGACAGGGGAAGCGGCGGCAGCTGGGGTTCCGCGGCAGCCGAAAGGGGAACTTGGCGGGAGGAACCGATTGCTGTACTCCGCCTCGAGGTATTTTGGGCTCCAGACTGCCAGTTCTTCGAAAACCACCCCGCTTCCTCACTCCCCCCCCTCCCCCGCTTCCCCGGTCGGCTCCTGGCTCGGCTGGGCCGGCTCGGCCTTCCTGGCGGGCTCCCGGGCCAGCTGGGCCTCGGGGGGGGCGGGGGGGGCGAGGGGAAGCGCCGCCAGGTCAGCCAAGAGCAGCCCCTGCTTGACCAAAGCCCCCCCCGGCCAAGCCCCGCAGTTGCAGGCGGCTGCAAACATCCAAATGAAGAATTGCTCTTCGGTATTCATCGTTGCTTATTTCGAAAGGTAAAACGAGGACCTGTCTGAAGCCTCCTGTGTGCTAATTGGACATTTACAATAAAAGCCACATTTTCCTCAGGATGGGATGCCGGGATCTGCTTCCAGTTCCCCATTCCCCCCCCCCGGGAGGCGCCACGTGGCCGGTCCTAGGGAAGCCTCCCTCTGCTCCTCAGCACCCTATCTGGGCACCGGGCTGAACGTGGGCTGCAGCGCCCAGGACCTCCCTGGCCTTCCAGGCGCTTCAGCGTCAGAGACTCCAGCCGCTCTTCGTAGCTGTGGAACCAGCCGGGCTTCTCGGGTGCGAAGGCAGAGGCAGAGAGTCCCCTGCGGAGGAAGCTGCGGAAGCGGGTGGTGGAAAGTCCCTTTGCGGCAACGGGTGGTTTCTCTCTCTCTCTCTCCGTTTGGGCCTCGGAGGGGGGGGGCGTCCCCTGGGCTGGGTCACCCTCCGTGATCGCTGGAAGAAACCGAGGGGGCTGTTTGTTCCCCACCTGGAATCTTCCTCCGGAGGAGCTGAATTCTTGCAAGTTCCACTTAGCTCAGCAGGGACTTTCTCTGGGAGCCCGGAAGCCGACACCCGAGTCCTGGAATTTAAGGAAAGCCACAAGTGTCTAAAAAAACCCAACACACGACTCAGCTGTGAATTAATCTTCACCTAGACCTGAAACATGAAAAGCACCGTTAGCTACTATTTGCCAATGTGAGCCCAGTAAAAATAAGTTATTTCAACCCTAATGCATAATTAACCGGCTGCAGGTTCTCTCCGGGTGGAAGAATACAGGTGGTCCTCGGCTTATGGCCACAAGGGAGCCCAAAATTTCTGTTGCTAAGTGAGATATTTGTTAAGTGAGTTCTGCCTCATTTTACCACCTTTCTTGCCACAGTCGTTAAGTGAGTCAGTAGTACGGCTATTAAGTGAATCTGGCTTCCCCGTGGACTTTACTTGTCAAAAGGTCGCAAAAGGGAATCACGTGACACCCCTGTCCCAGACACTGCGACCGTCATAAATGTGAATCGGTTGCCAAGCGTCTGAATTTTGATTCATGTGACCCGGGGGGAGGGGGGGAATCCTGCAAAGGCTGTAATTGTGAAAAACGGTCATAAGTCACATTTTTCAGTGTGTTGTAACTCTGAACGGTCGCTAAACGAACTGTTGTAAGTCGAGGCTGCAAATGGCACGTGTAGGTAGTACTCGTTTAGCAACCGTTCACAGTTATGTCAGTGATGAAAAAGTGAGCGTGTGACCAACTCTCTCCGCCTGGGAGCAAAGGGAAAGCGGAAGCAAGACCAGAAGCCCAGCCACGGTTTCACTTCTTAGCAGCTCCAGCTTGCAAACAGAACCAAGGTGGCCTTCAGAAGCCCCTCTCTGGGCAGGCAGGGCCCCCAAGGCAAAGACCCCCGGAGTGAGGAGGCTCCCCTGAGGCCAGAGAGCGGAGGCTGAAGGGGAGCAGGGAAAGGGAGGTGGGGTGGAGGAGAGCAGGGGAGGCCTCCCGCCTTCCCATTCTCACAGGCGGGTGCGCATCTTGGGCAGATTCCTCCTGGATCAGCAGCAGCAGCAGCAGCAGCAGCAGCTGTGGTGGTGCTGGTGGTGGTGCTGGTGGTTGGTGGGCGGCTTTGGAAACTGCCAAATGCCACATTCGAAGTGCCCTTTTGGGCTGCTTGTTCAAACCGTTAACTCATCAACCTCCAGTTTCCTGATGAGCCCACCGCTTAGTAAAAGCAAAAGAAGGAAATTTCTTGGTATGGAAACTGACGGGGGAGGAAAGGCCAGCGGAGCCTTTGAAAGGAGAACTGATATCAAATGGATCTTTCCTCCTTCCGGTCCTGCTTCTACCTTTTCCTCTCCCTTCCTGGGATGGGAACAGACTCCTTGGCAGCCGCCTGGAAGGGAAGGGTTCTCCCTCTCACTCGGACCTTTTAGGGCCACGGCCTCTGAGATCAGAGGGCGGAAGTTACAAGCACCACTACACTGTTTACCCTCTGCAGTCAGAAGGCGCCTCCAAAGGACCTTGGTGTGAATGGGGAGAAACAGACTCAGGCTCAACCCTTCCAAGACTGAGTGGCTGTGGTTGCCGGCTCCCAGGTATGGTCAGCTGACTCCATCGCTGACTATAGGGGGCGAAACTTTGGCTCCCTCGCTGAGGGTACGCAATTTGGGGGTCCTCCTGGATCCACGGCTGACACTGGAAGACCAGTTGACGGCCGTGGCCAGGGGGGCGTTTTACCGGGTATGCCTGGTGCACCAGTTGCGGCCTTTTCTGGACCGGGATGCCTTGCGCACAGTCACCCATGCTCTTGTCACCTCCCGCCTGGACTACTGTAATGCTCTCTACATGGGGCTTCCCTTGAGGAGCACTCGGAGGCTCCAGTTAGTCCAGAATGCGGCCGCGCGGGCGGTGATGG